CTTAAATACTGTCTTTAGTTGTATTAATATATTACAAAAATACTCAATCACTCAATTAGATTTGGCTTAGGGCCTGTCTGATTTATGAAGAATGGCCACAGTGGAACTAACAATTTATATATATATATTATGTATAAAATATATATATATTATGTACAGAGTGTGTCTGAGCCTCGAAAATTATTAGGAAGGCTATTTCAAAGTTTCCAAAGGAGCCATAAATGAGAAGGCTCAACCTCATTTAATCGACTTTTATTCTAGGTACCACCAGGGGCCCTGAGTTTTGAAATCTTAAAGAGCGGGTTGGATTGTAGTGAGACAGAAGGCTGGTTAGATAAACAGGAGTTAGATTATTTAAAACTTTGTAGGTAAGAAGCAATACTTTATAATCAATACAGAACTTAACAGGCAGCCAGTGTAAGGAGGAAAATAATCACTAGACATTCTTGTAATTTACTTTAACGAGACATTTATTAACTTTTAGAATTGCTATACTTACAATTGAATTTGCAAATGAATTAAATATTATTATACAATACTGGCTCGAAATGTTACACGCTTTATGTCAGCCTTTTTAATTCAATAAATTAGCATTTTTCGCTTTGGTGTTGCCACCTTTTCTGAATATGTAATTAGCACTTTTTGAGTTTTTTGGCTGAGCATCCAGTTAAGAGGGATGTGCGTGTTTTCGTACAGTTTTTCATTATACAATAATGTACTACATATTTTAGAAAATGTTGAAACCACCTGATAATTTTTAAAAACTTTTTAGCCTGAAAGTAATTCAAATCATCTCTAAGTGATGCTCTTTTAGATGTAATAATGTTACTCCTTTCTAGAGCATCCCTAATATGCCTTTCATAAGATTTAGTCCAGTGCAGCATGGGGCTGTTTAAATGTCAGCATCAAGGTAAATTACTCATGTTCTGACAGGTGTTTTAATAAAAGTGGAAATTAAACCAGCATAGCCCATCTGCACATATCGATAATTCACCGGTGCACACATAAAACACCAGGCAAAGGACACAAACACAACGCTGAAGAATAACACTGAAATACTGAGGAAAGCTGCAGTACCTGCTGACCCTGAGCTGTAAAGATGTTTGTGTATGTGTGTATACTGTGATGTTTGTTTGACCATTGTGTGTGTGTGTGTGTGTGTGTGTGTGTGTGTGTGTGTGTTCTGCGATGTGTGTTTGACCTGTGGTGTGAGTGTGTGTGTGTGTGTGTGTGAGAGAGAGAGAGAGAGAGAGAGAGAGAGAGAGCTGTAAGGAGTGTAAACTATAGGGTGAGTATTTCTTCTTAGTTCCCTGAAAATAGAAATACCGCAGAGAAATGAGCTCATCTGTTGGCAGTTATGTGCACATCTGACCTCTTCTGCACACACACACACACACACACACACACACACACACACACACACACACACACACACACACACACACACACACACACACACACACACACACACACACACAGACACAATACAGAGTATTTACCTTCATGCACTAAAATCTCCAACACATTTCCACATATTCCTCCAACACATAAAGAAACATAGAAGAAAAACAGAAAAACAATTTAAACACCTGAACAAAGCATCTGAGTCTAAGCTTAGGATTAGAAATTACATAAAGGGCGCCCAAGCATACGGCCCGAGAGGCGCTTCAAAGATGGCCACCGAGTGAAATGACTAGCCTTAAAGGGAGTTTGCTAGTACAGCAGGAATGATGATGATGCTTAGGTTACTGCAGTAAACAAACCAGCATGATGTCAAATCTAGCAGAAATTTATGGATGTCATAAAATATACAGCATTCTAATATTGGCAGATTAAATTCCAGATAATTTTAGCATACAGCTAAACACTATATTATCAAAATTATACAAAATTTAATATCTTGTAAAATAGCATTTAATACTATTTAGGGCCTTGAATTTATTCTACATTGATTTATCAACTTTTAATACCTTTTTTTTAGCACCTGGCAGAGACCCTAATGTACTGTATGTAACACAGATAAAGATCTCATTGGTAATCAACTTTTGAGCCATTCACCTGAGTTAACGAAATAAGCTGAATAAATAATGTATCTACTCACTCTAAAGCTGGAGGATGCAATGACTGATATTAAATATTTAAAAGCAGTTTGTGGCTGTCTCGATTTTATTATAATTTTTATTTTCTAAAAAAAAAAGTGTAACTATGTCATCCACCCACAAAGTCTAAAGGAGTCAACCAGACAAACCACAACAACACAATAGCCCCTTTCACACAGTGATACCGGTAAATACCCTGAAAATTACCAGAACGACTTTACCGGTATATTAAAAAAGTACCATTCACAGAGGCAAGGATGCTATGGAATTTTTCCGGAAAAGACCATTTACACATCCATTCCAAAATACCAGTAAATTCTGACATCATTAATCAGAATTGACCTCTAAAAGGCTGCACTTTTATTTGTAAACATTTGACTACACTACAAACTCTGTGAATGGATAAGTATTATGAACAACTTTGATAAAAAAAAAAACATATGGGGGAACACCTTTGCATGTAGAGATACATAATTTATGTGTGTGCTGGCCCTCACCGGCTGCTTCGCGTGCACATGCGTCAAGCAACTGAAGCAAGCAGAGCTTGAAGTTAAACAAACAACAGCTTATCATAAGCATTTTATTGATAATTTTTACACAGTTGACATTAAGAAGGAACATAGAAACATTATCTGACTATCATCTAGCAGCTAAATGTGTCTGGAAAAATATTCAAAGGGTTTTATCTTCAATTCAATTCAGCTTTATTTGTATAGCGCTTTTACAATGTAGATTGTGTCAAAGCAGCTTCACATAAACGGTCATAGTAAATTGGAACAGAGTAGTTCAGTTTTTAGTGTTTAAGTTCAGTTCAGTTCAGCTTAGTTCAGTGTGATTTAAAATCATTACTGAGAGTCCAAACACTGAAGAGCAAATTCATCGATGGGTAGCTCTACCGATCCCAATGCAATGCAAGCTAGAGGCGACAGCGGAGAGGGAAAAAAAACTTCACCGATTGGCGAGTGAAGAAAAAAAACCTTGAGAGAAACCAGACTCAGTTGGGCACGACCATTTTAATTTCTCAGCTGGCCAAACGTCTTGTGCAGAGCTGCAGTCTCAGTGGCTGAGGCTGGATGCTGGCCTCAGCGAAGACTCGTTTGTCCCTGGAGCATCACTGGAATCAGTCTCATGTTCTCCACTCATGTTCTCATGTTTATCTTCATAAACAGCGCGGATGTGAATGTGTCTGAATGTTCTGATTGGCTGGAGTACACGCCTCATGTCAGCGTGTTCTAAGAGTGACCGTGCTCTTTCCAGCAATCTTCCTTCTGCGTTCTCAAAGCGCAGCATTCTGGCAAATTACCGGTAACGTTACAACTCTTTCCGGGAAATTGCCATAACGAATTTACCGGTATTATCAAAAAGGGCCCCTTCACACATACAGACCTTTCCGGAAAATTGCCGTTAATTTTTTGGAAAAGTCTGTATGTGTGAAAGGGGCTAATGTGAGCTTGTTCACAGTAGAGTTGTTGAAGCTCTATTTTAAAAGATTACAAGCCACAGTACAATCCTCGCCAGCAGTTTATTTTCAGATGGAAATACATTGGTAGAAAAGTTCACTTTGCAGGACCGGTTTTAAAAAAGAGAAAGCATTTTACTCATAGTTCTACTGTTTCTATGACTATTTGTAGTTGAAAAGAAATGAATATTTAAATGCATAGGTTGAAGGTTAGAAACATCAAAAACTGCCTCAAAATTAGAATATATAACAAATGTAATAAACAGCAATAATCAGCATGATTCACACAATATTTTCATAAGATATTTTCTGATAGTGCTGTAATATTTTAGCATTACTGATTTAGTTTTTGTTCATTTTTTTGCTAAAAGAATTTACTTTAATTATAATAAAATATTTTGTAATTTTGTGGTTTTGTCATTTTTATTAGTTTTTTTATAGGTTCTTTTCTGATAGTATATTTTAGTATTACTAGTACTTTACTGCTATAGTTTTTGTTAATATTTTAAATTGTACTTTTTCACTTTAATTTGAATTAAATATTTTTTAATTTTGATCTTTTGTCATTTTTATTAGTTTTAGGAGTTTTTTTTTTTTATGCCTGTAGATCAAAGATCAAATAAATGCAACAAATATGTCCCATTGTGGTGTTCCCATAAAAAAAGTAAAAAAAAGAAAGAAGTGATTTCATGTACATAAAAAGCATATTAAATGCAAGTAAAGATGCTTTCATCAGTGACTAATCACACTGCTCTAATAATAATATTTTTTTTTATAATTTATTAACGCTGGCTCAATGGTTAGCACTGTCACCTCACAGCAGGAAGGTGCCTGGTTCGAGTACCGGCTGGTCAGTTGGCGTTTCTGTCTGGAGTTTGCATGTTCTCCCCGTGTTGATGTGGGTTTTCTCTAAATGCACCGGTTTCCCCCACAGTCCAAAGACATGTACTATAGGTGAATTGTCATTCATTTATTTTCTTTTCGGCTTAGTCTCTTTATTAATCTGGGGTCACCACAATGTAATGAACCGCCAACTTATCCAGCATATGTTTTACGCAGCAGATGCCTTTCCAGCCACAACCCGTCACTGGGAAACACCCATATACTCCTATGTACTACACACATACAGACAATTTAGCTTACCCATTTCACCTATAGCACATGTCTTTGGACTTATAGGGGAAACCGAGAGAAAACCCACACTAACATGGGGAGAACATTGCAAACTCCACACAGAAATGCCAACTGACCCAGCTGAGGCTTCCTTCTTGCTGTGAGGTGACATCGCTACCAGCTGTGCAACCGTGCCACCATAATAAGTTTTAAAATATTCAAATATGGCTGAAAATGTTGTTTTTTATTTATTTATTTAGTTGAAATTATTTTAATACCTTAGGTTAAAATGATAAAAAATTAACATGAGGTTTTTTTTTCTTAGCCAGTTAAAAGAAATAAAAATGTATGTCATTTATTTGTGTTTTATCATGGTTTTGGTGTTTATTCATAGAGCACATCAAAAATAAAAGGAAATCTGTCAGAAACAAAACACAAAACTGGCATTTCCATTCCAAAAAGCTTCACTGATTACAATATTAACATTTTAGTTTAACGCCAACATCTGACATTAAACCATTAAAACAAACAGACATGACTGTTTATCAATAAATGAATGTCTGTGTGTGTGACAGAGAACATTGAAAGTGAAGGATCTACAGCGGTGAAATATTCATCAGCCAGCTTTAATGAGCCTTTCAATTACTCATCAGCTCAACTATACGTCTAACCAAGACAGCTAAATATATCTTGCATTATTTCATTGCGCACACACACACACTTCCACAAGCTCAGCAGAGAGTGTGATTATGCTTATGCTCTCTTGCTGTGTCATATCAAGCATATTCTCTCTCTCTCTCTCTCTCTCTCTCTCTCTCTCTCTCTCTCTCTCTCTCTCTCTCTCTCTTTCTCTGTGTGTTTCGCTCACACAAGTGGAGGCACTTCTGGATCGTCCACAAAGTCCTTCGACACAGGCCTTTCCTCCAAGCCACAGCGCTGGGGATTGTGGGAAGACTCCTGTCCTTTGGGAACAATGTTGGCCAGACTCCCAGCCAAACCAGGATCCACCTCCAATAATTCACGCCTCGGCGCTGCCCTGCGAAGAGACGGATCGGAGTGAGATTGCCGTTTTGTTGCATTTTAAGAATTTATTAGCCAATGACTCTTGTCAAACTGTTCAGTCAGCACAATCCCTGTGAAATCAAACTCCATTTCCACCACCTGCTCTATGCTAAAACACATTAATCACAAATACACACTCAAAAAAAAAAAAGTGTGCTCTTTCATAAGGAATTTTTTTTATGAATTTGAATTTATAAAATGGGATAGCCCCTTTTTGAGGGTGTTCCTAATGCCGAGTTCAGACTACATGATTTTAGCCATTATTTTGACTCAGCGACAGGTTTTGAGAAATCGCAGATAAATGCCTGAAATCACAGGCAAAATAGTGCATGTCATGTGAGTAAGTGAACTATTATTGGGTGTCGCCAACACCCAAGAGATATTTGGCATGCTAAACATCTGGAGTTGTCTGCGATTCAACATCATGCCGTGTGAAATGAGTTCTGATTCAAAATAACATCAGCGATTACCTACAGCAAATGAGAGAAGCAGCATCCACTAGAATGGCTATCTGCAAGTCAGCGGGAGGTTGAAGGCTTCTTTTCAGTCTATTTAGACCCAAGAAATGGAGGAAAGACTAGTGGAAATGTGGCAGGAGCATCCATGTCTGTTTGACGTGTCATCTGAACAAGACCACAACCGGCTCGAAAAGAAAAAAGTAGAGGAGAAGTTGCTAATTCCCTTCAAAAACCGAGGTGAGCAAAATAAATACATTTTATAACACACCAAAGGCTTCTTTTACATTAAATATACTATGTTACCTCACGTTGTACCATGTAACTTCTCGCGTATGTTTGGTTATGAGAAGTAGTTGTCAGCGATTCCCCTATTGTAAAGTCATACAATGTGAAACCCCCTGTAAACACAGCAGCGACGAAACGCTACCCTAGATAGTCATGCAGCGTGTAAACAATTGTGATGCAACTACTTTGAAAATCATGCAGTCTAAACGGGGCATTAGTACATAAATCAAAACATAGTACAACAAATCTAAACAAACAGACGGCTAAACAAAACATACAAGCAAACTTCACCTGAACCACCTCCAACAATCTATAGCTTAAGCAAACAAAAACATATAGTCCAAAAGTACAAACAATTTATATGTTTGTACTTTAAACATTTAACCAAAAAGGGGTTTCCAAAAAAGAAAATAAATTAGTCCTGAAAAGACAATGGGCCCTATCATACACACAGAGCAATAAGGAGCAAGACGTGTTTGGTGTGTTGTGTTGTTATTTTCAGACCAGCAAAACTCAAATTTTCACAGTTTGCGCAACATTGTTTAAATAGAAAATCCATTTGCACCTTTTTGTGGACTCTATGCTGGTCTAAAAAGGAGGTGTATTGAGGCGCATTGTTGCGTTGCTATTTTGAGGAACTGAAATAGATTGCGCCATTGACCAACTAAAAAGCTGGTCTAAAGTCTGCGTTAGTTATGCGCATATGCAGGTCCAAAACACGTACACTTTACTTTATACACACAGAATGTACAGCAATACACAAATATCTTTAAATATGAAAAGGATTAAAAAGTTTAAAAAATTATAATTTTCTACATACATATAAAAACCACTGCCTCCATGCCTTCTTCATATTGTTGCTTTTTTTCAGTTTATTTATGACAATTTGCATTAGTATGTTATTATTATTATCAGTATTATTTATTATATGCATATTTATATTTGTTTTAATAAAAACAACTTTAGATTTTTCCACCTGTTGGGTTTTGGTATGCGTCAGCATATGGGTATAGGACGTGTGTTTGGATAAACATATTTATATTTTTGACCACACTTTGTTATTATTGTTCATTTATTTGTGTATTTGAAACAAGTCTTTGTGCTTAAACGAAATTAAATATGTAGGCTAATGGATGTCTTCAGTGGAGTGTGTACAACACCGTTTTCTTACTTAAAGAAAAAGTAAAGCAGCCGAATGAAGGAGGCTCGTTCTTTATCCTTGCTGCAGATGGTCTATTTAGCTGTTTTCTCTCTAGTCAAGCGTTCAGTTTTTCCACTTACAAAGTCCGCCATGTAAACAGCAAATGTGCCATGGCGTGACACACCTGACACTTAAAGGGAATGGGCGATGAGACTCTGATTGGTTTAATGCACGTTATGCTCAAAAAACACCCATAACTCATTAAGAGAATAAGCACAACCATTAGGCCATGTGCCAGGACGCAGAATGTATTTTCCATCCTTAAAATAGCAAAAGTGGATTCGAACACACCCTTAATTCTTTTGCACCATGAGCTTTAGACTTTGCGCCTAGATTGTTAAAATAGAGCCCTAAATGTCTTAATGGATCTAAAAGAAGAAAATAAATTATTCCAGTCAAAACCACTTGTAATATATAATCACTTCATTAATTGTATTTCTGTTTTCTTTTATGTCAAATACTTACAATTAACCACTTAATATAAATGGTAACACTTTACAATAAGGTTCATTAGGTAATGCATTTTCTAACATGAACTAATCATGAACAACACTTGTTCAGCATTTATTAATCATAATTGAACATTTACTAATGCATTATTAACATCCAAACTCATGCTTGTTAACATTAGTTAATGCACCGTGAGTTAACGAACTCGCAATGAACAACTGTATTTTCATTAACTAATGTTAACTAACATGAACAAATACTGTAGGTAAATGTATTGTTCATTGTTTGTTCATGTTAGTAAATGCATTAAGTAACATTAACTAATGAACCTTATTGTATTAACTAATGAACCTTATTGTAAAGTGTGACCATATAAATTGTTATCAATTACAACAAACTGTTTAAAACTGTATCTGATATTTTCAAAAAAGGAACTCAGGGCAGGGCTGCTAATATTTTTGCCAATTATTGCAAGAAAACTCTCCTTAAAGTCTGCGTAAATTAGAACTTGCTGAGGCTTTTATTTCAGTGTGTTGATGAAAATAGAGTATTGAGTAGGGGGCGGGGCTTTCTTTTTGTGCATTATTCCCTCTTAGCAAATGGTAAGAGGGGCGTGGTTAAGAATATTGTGGCTGAAGACATCAAACTGACATTAACAGAGAAGGACAGTCACTCCAAATGCAGATCAAATGGTCAGATTTTGATTTAAAATTTAAAAACAAATGTTTTTTTCAAGTGAATTAACCTGCACAGATTAAATAATAATGTGACCTAGCAAAATAAACATTGTAAATGTTGAATTTCCATGGACTTTAATGGTCCCATGAAATGCCTTGAAATGTGCCTTTTTTATTTGTAATTAGTCTACTACTTTCATTATATACTTTATTGTTTCTAAAAATTAACACAAAGAATTCAGTCAAACCAAAAATCCCTCAACAAAACCTGTTTTTCATCAGTGACTAATCACAATGCTTTGGCTATTGCATTCATAAACTCAGAAACATGATTAATTATAAGGTTCATTACTGCAAAAAAAAAAAAAGAATTAAAGGAAATCTGATGCATCTTGAACAGACTGTAATGCAATGAATGTTCTGTCATTCAGTCAATTATCTTTTTTTTCACTTTATCTTGATTTTGAGACACTTTTGTTCATTTTGGCATAATTTTTGCCACAAGCTCAGATCCTACATTTGACCCACTTACTTTTTGATTAAATGTTCTAGTTCTAGGCTTGGACAAATTAATAATAATATATGGGTATTTTACAGTCAGCTGTTCATTATCACAAAATGTAGCATGCAGAATGTGACCAGGACCCCAGTGCAAATATTTTGTCCTCACACTCTCAGAAATAAAGGTACTACATCTGCCATTGGGGTGGTACACTTTTGTACCATACAGGTGAACATTAGTCCATTTAGGGTACAATTTTGTGCCCAAAGAGAACATGGGAGAACTTGCTAACTCCATACAGAATTGCCAACTGACCCAGCTAGGGTTCAGTGATCATCCTGCTGTGAGGCAATTGTGCTACCCACTGCACCAACATGCTGCTAATATATACATTTTAGGAACAAAAATGTACCTAAATAAAGATATGCCCCAGTGACACGATTTTGTACCTTTATTTATGAGAGTGCCGAATAAATTAATAAAGAGGGTATGAAATATTGATTTGATTGTAAATTAATTGATTATTTAAGAAGAAATACATGGCAGAGTGTTACAGATGACATACTAAAAAAGCAATAAAAAATAAAACAATAGTCAACTAGTTTAGAGGTTATTATTGCATAATTTTTCCTTAGAACACAGCGTCTAAATTTATCATCTAAATTTATGACCAAAAAAGCTCTTTCTGTGGAATAAATAGAATATATTCATTTGCTAATCTTACCCAAATGATAAATGTGTTTCCCCTTAAATTTAAGCAGCAGTTTCTCCTTTTTAGCCAAATATTTAGTTGTCTGAATACCTTCCCAAATAAACAATATTTTGAAAATTTCCTTGCTCTAAGGAGGGCTAATAATTCTGACTTTAACTGATATATATATATATATATATATATATATATATATATATATATATATATATATATATATATATATATATATATATATATATATATATATATATCGTTTAGTAATAGTTTTTGTAATTATTAAATACGTGGCCTCTGAAGATTGCAGTGGACAGTGGAAATTACTTGACAGAGCATATGTCCCGTAATCCCAAACGTCTAACTGTACTCAGCTAAAAATAATGAACTAATTTAGTGGATCATTATGGATTTAGAAGGTTAAAAAAAAGCTAACAGAAACGATGTTCAGCCATTGCTTAGGAAGCAGCGAGGTGAGCTAATAAATGTCCATTAATCCACTCCTGCTGTCCAGCATGACAACATCATGTTGTACTGCAGCTCTTACCAACAGAAAAGCTTTCTGCTTCTTGCAAAGAAACACAAATCCCATCAAGATATAGCAGATAAATCAAGCCTGGCATCTTGTAGACTCAAACTGAAAGACTTCAATACACAGCAGGACTGTTTGTTGGGAGGATTTCTGACTATTTTTG